TCCCTGTCCCCTCCTGGGTTGCCAGCTTTGCTTCTCTGTTTCTTCTTCTTCTTTTTTTTTAATGTTTATTTATTTATTTATTTTGAGAGGGAACGAGAGAGAGGATCCCAAGCAGGCTCCACTCTGCCAGTGCAGAGCCCAGCGTGGGGCTGGAACTCACAAACTGTGACATCATGACCTGAGCCAAAATCAGTGGTCGGAGGCTAAACCGACTGAGTCCCCCAGGCGCCCTGGTTCTTCTGTTTCTTAATTAGGAGGCTCTGGGGCTCCTGTTGAAGTCATGTGGCCACTCCAGCCAAGCTCTTGGAGTCGCCTGCTCCTGGAGTCCACGCACAGTGCCCGAGCCCCATCTCAGAGCCATGCCGGGTACAGAGCACTGGAGACAACTACCACCGTGATGGGACCCCTCTCCTCCAAACATTCTCTCGACTCAGGAGGTGGCTCCTTGGCCACAGACCACAGTGGTCCAGGGCTGGGAGAACACAGATGGCCTGGGCCAGGTGGTCCCAGCGAAGACAGAATGCCCCCACCAGGCAGATGAAAACCTACGGGCAGTGCGCGTGGCAGGTGAAGTCTCTGGGGGATGGCAGGATGGCGGCAATGTATCTTGCCCATGGGCCAGACACGAATCGGGGACACAGGGCATGACATAGTGGGCGGCAGGGTGGACCCACATAACATAGGTCCACCCAGAACCTCGGAACGTGAGCTTATTTAGAATAAGGCACAGGGACCTGCTTCCTTAGTGCAGGAGGCAGTACTCAGTCTCAGAGGATGAGGCAAAGCCACCCAAGACGTCCTGGTGCATTCTGGCCACCACCAGTAGTGAACTGGGGGCTAGGGAAGCCCATGGGCTGTGTCATGTGCACATTGTCCTCGAGGCCACTCGGGCCCACTGAAGGGCGCTGGAGGAGGGGACAATTGCTGCACCTGCCACACAGGGGCTGGGTGGGAGAACAGAGCCTGGAGGCTTCTGAGAGTGAGGAGAGGGCAGAGCCCGGCCAGGGACAAGGGGTGATGCACCTGCGAGCTCTTTAAGTGGTAAAGTCATCAGAAACTGTGAGGGGCGGTGGAGCGAGAGGGAGCGGAGACAGTGAGTCCCCTGTGGGGTCGTGGGGAAGTCAGGCGGCCGGGGCCAGTTGCCAGTTGGAACTGTGGGTGTGGCCCCCAAGAGACACTGATGTCACAGTCATCACCCAGGAGAGGAACTGAGGTCACGGGCAGGAACACGTAGGGCAGAATGGGGGCTGTGGAGCTTGGGAGAGATGGCCGGAACGGTGTGGAGAAGACCAGGAGCGGGGGACAGAGGAGGGGGTGACGAAGAGCAAGACCGAAGATGGCAGCTGAGCATGCAGCACGGCGGGGCAGAGGCCAGGGGCCCAGGAGATGGGGCGCCTGAGGGACAGGAAGGGGACTCCGCCTCCTCCAAGCTTGGATGCCAGGTGACTGGGGCCACGGCTGCTGGCGGCTTTGACCGGGGAAGGCCGGAAGTCCAGGCAGCTCTCGCCTGACCCGTCAGAAAGGGCTTGATGATGTGGGTGGCAAAGGTGCCTGCCGGGAGGGACAGGCCGGAGCTGGGCTCCAGGAGACGTACTGGTCAGGAGTGGCCACCGGGAGC